TCTGAGATCCAGGTACATCAGCTAACGAATACCAAATAGGACGAAACGCGCGTCCTGGACTCCACTACTAGCCACTATCCATCTTTGCTCAGAAATTCTGTTCCCTTCCACAAAGAAAAACATTTACAATCGTCCTAATGTACATTAATAATTGAAGAATAATTTTGTTTTAACAAACTACTTAATAATAAAACTTCAATTATTTCTTGATTAAAACAAAAATTGCATGAAAATTTTAAATAAACAAAGTTAATCACCATTTCTTTTTTTAATCGACTTATCCATTAGTAGTGAATTATGTGAACAATTTATAATTGAGTCATTCTATTCATGATCTTCACTATTTTAACAGGTAAATAAAAACAAAAACAATTAAACAAACAAAAAAGAGGGAAATAGGAATTGAAATATATTTGTATCTTAGTGAATAAGCATTCATGAATACATAAAGAAGAAGTTAGGTAGATAGATAACTATTTCATGTCCAGCTTAGATATTGTGTGACTGAAGTAATTATTCATGCTAGAACCTTATTATTACTATTATTACCATTATTATTACGATTACTATCATTACTATTATTACTATTACTGTCATTACTATTATTATCATTATGATTATGATTATCTATTGTGGTACATTGCACATTGTATCTATCCAAATATGAATATATGAGCCATAAACTATATTTTTTTTACACTAATAACTAGTAACATGAATATTATCTTATTGATAAATACTAGAGAAACAAAAGAAAATAATAATGAATGATGCCTTTTGTTAAAATTTATCATGTTATTTGCATGTTTCTATAACGTAGGGATAGTTAAAGTGACACTCTATAAATTGTACTGGTCATTTCTTTTGATAATTTATTTCCATAAAATCTTTTTTTAGCTTTTATTATCCTTACTATGGTGATGTATGCTGCTGATATCGACAGATATAAGTAGTATATATCATCAATCGAAAGTGAAATATTTGGTGGTAGAAGATTAAGAAGATAGAACAGTAGAGAATGAGAATAGAGAATGATTAGTGTGGAAGTGATGGAACAATGAAGTTTGAGGCCATTGATTAACATTTTGTAAATGTAGTATTTACTGTACGGCTCTTGGATTTTATTAAGATATTCTGTAATTCTGTACTCGAATACATTTGATAGTCACCACTTGTGTACTCGTTTACTACACTATTATTATAGTTGTCATTATTATTACGAATATACGTTTGGGAACTTAATGAAGTCACAAAACAAGGTATAATTCTTTAGAAAAGAATTCAAGTGAAGTATTATATACAAAATATATAAAAACATATAGGAGGGAAGTTAAGTGACTTGTTTATCACATATTAAATACTTGTCTAGGATATCAAATAGTCGTCCAAGAATGACTCATTATAATGTTTGGTAAATGAATTGCTGGATAAATCATTTGTTTTCAAGTCAGCGTTCATTGTTCATGTTTACATTCAACAAGAAAAATACCTCCGTTGATGTACGTGTATAATGACATTAAGTTTTTGAAAGTAATATGTGGGAAGTTTTTCAATTAAGATATTTATCGGTAAAACAAGTCTATAGATTCAATTTGAAATAGTTTGGATTATTGTGTTGTTGATATTTTTATTGTCGTTTTATCAATCTTGGTTGACATATGTACATTCTGTGAGAATTGTTTTGATATAGCCATTGTTTAATAAGCTTATATAATACAGATAAATGTTGGCTGTCTTAACTCACCAGTTAAATGGATAATGCTTGGGCTTTTGAAGCGAACTATACTGAGTTCGAACCCCGTAGTGATCATAGCTTCTAACTAGAACTTCGGATATTTCATTTCGAAGCCAGTCACTAGTGATCTAAACAATTAGAACAATCTCCATAACTACACACTGACATATAATTGATTTTTTGGATTCATTTCTGGTTTTTAAGTGACAATTGGATCTGTCTGTAGCTAGAAATCGCTAGTTGATCCAAGTTTGAAAGATAGAAAACTGGATGCACACTCAGTAGTCTGAAGGTTCAGTGGTCACTTGAAGATCCTTGTTTCGATCCTTGGTGGGATTTCGGATGCATATTGTCAATTAGCAGTCTCACACTACAACTAAACAAATTTCTGGTACTTCTTGTTTTTCATTGATTGTTTGTATGAAATAAAACTATTATATAAAAACACCGACACTCAGTAATCTCGAATAATTGCCCTTCATGATGCTTGCAAGTCCTGGATTCAATACCTATCGATTGGTATATACGTACTGTAACTAAATAGTCTCATACTAGGACTGATGGGTTGATTAGTGCTTATTGCTTTCAATCATTGTCTAATTATTTTTCCATTGATAATGTAAAATTTCTTCAACATTATCTTATCACAAACACAAATAATAGTCTTAATACTTTACATATTTATTTTTTAAATTATATAATGAAACAAATCTGGATAATTTCACTAGTTGAAATCATGAGTCAATTGAAGCTGAACCACCATGGAAAATCTGGAAACACTGGACGGCCGTCTTATCCTAATAAGAGACTCCTCAGCAGTGCGCGCCCACGATCTCGCCTCAAGAGACTCGAACAAAAGATCTGTCAGTTTCACGCGAAAACGCTTTACCACCAAACCATTGAGTCGGCCCGCATCCGACGGTGTTAATGTCTAACTTCAACTAATCCACGAAATTGAGCGACACATCCACCATTGTCTTCAGTGAGTTACTACCTCACAACAGACCTGGTTGAACTCCACTGGTAACGGTTTCTCACTAGAACTCCAGGAGTATCTCTTGAAGTCAGTCATTGAATAAACTTTAGGTCCATATTGATTTTGTTTACATTAAAGTGTTTTACATTCTGATACTTTTGTTACTCTACATTAATGACCTATTAGAATTTTACAAGTGAATCAATTTCTATAGATAAAATATAAACAAAATACTATGATTTTTCACTTTCAATATTTTATGAATCATTTGTATATTAGTATAATGTAATTTGTGTATTTGATTACATGCTGTTCTGTTGTTGGTCTATTTAATATAACATTAAGCTTAACTAAACGTCTATCATAGAAAGAATAGTCAACATGTAAAGAGTCATATTTCTTACAAATAAATGTTTACAACAGCTGACAATATATTGAGTGTAAATATAAATATTATTAAGATATTCGAAATGATATGATTATATCACTAAGGTATATTACTATATGATATGTTGTGTACATAAACTTAATATAAGGGTAAACACACATATATATATATGAGAGGTGAAAGATCATTTCTATTGAAATGTTGTAATCTTGAATGTACTTTATTGTAAAATAGATGAATAGGTAACCTTAACCAAGGTAATATAAATATATGTTTATAAGGGAAAGAAAGTATAGTTTTCAAGGATGATGTTTTATTCAAGTGATATATGATTATACTGATTCAATATTGAAATATATTTAACTTATAATAGCATACATAAGTGAACAATACTGTTTCCAATTAGATTCTCATCAGGCTGTACTCTTAATATACAGTGATATTTATATGCATATACGAAATTATTCAACCAATCAAGTTAGCAATGATGGATAGTGGCTAGCAATGGAATCCAGAACGCGCGTTTCGTCCTATTTGGGACTCATCATCTGGATGTTCCTGCATCTCAGAGTTAATGTTCACTCTACAACTCGAACCCAGTACCGTTCGCTTCAAACGCCATTGTGTTATCCACTCAGCTACTAAGTTCTGGGATGCAGGTACATCCAGTTGATGAGTCCCAAATGGGACGAAACGTGCGTCCTGGATTTTACTGCAAGCCACTATCCATCATTGTTTACAAAAACCTTGTGAATAAGGCAATATCGAGGCAATACGCACAGTATGAACATATGCCAATAACAGACTGACCAATTACAGTCTTTAACTTCAATATGAAGATAAAAGCCAAACAATACCAATTGAATAATCAAGGTAGTTTATGAGTCAATGATAACAATAGAATAGAATACATAAATAAACATAATAAATGAAAAGTGCAGATTGGTAGTGTGATGACAGTGCATTAGTTTGGATAAGAATAATAAAGGCTTAAATCAATGTTATATAATCAGAAATAAGTTAATAATTAGATACAAAAATAACATTCATAGAAAGATTATAGGATTACGTAATAAGAGGTGTTCAGATAATTGGACCGTGAAGAGAATACCTGAGAAAAGAAAAGAGTGGGAGAGTGTGAGGAAAAATAAACAAAAAAAAGAGTATGGAAAATAACAGTAAATAAAATTATTTATTAAGGCCAAGGGTAAGATAAGGGTGTTACAAATTTCTTATGAACACAGAGACTTGGTTTGTTGGCTTGAATTCCTATAGCTTTTGGTATGTGTAAAAGACGAGATCGAACACCATAGGGCAAATTAGTAAGAATACGATTAATAACTTTAAATGACTTATTTCTGTCTACTACATGACAACTATCCATCAAGTGTGATACAAACGAGCTACCTATTGTCTTGACAGTATCTCTTCCTAACTATGAAGGCAAGTGTTTACTAATTCTCTGGTTCTGTTGTCTGATAGTGCACCCAACATAGCTTTCTCTACAGGACATACAAACTGAGATTTTAAAAAGTTTATTTTAAATCATTTCAATCTGTTTAATATCGAACTACATTCAGTTTGTTATTTCTGTCTTAGGTATTCATGACACTTAAAATATCTAATCAATCAATTTAATTGGTGCCAAGTACACCGTACAATCAATACAAACACTAATAATAATATAATGAAATAGATTTCCGAGATCTAAACCACTGATTGATCAGTCTTCTTTGTAACGTTCTATTTGATATTTATCAAAATAGTATATTAATATAAAAGCACACAAAAATTATTTTGTTTTATCTACTAGATAACATCCATAACAACAAATCACAATCAATTAACAGTAGAGATGAATAAACATTATCGTATTCAGCAGTCTTCTATAACTGTTTACAATGTCTTCAGGATTAGTATTACCGTTTAATACTACTACTACTACTACTACTACTACTACTACTACTACTACTACTACTACTATTACTACTATTACTACTACTACCATTACTACTACTATTACTACTACTACTACTACTACTACTATTACTACTACTACTAATGATAATAATAATGTGTTTCCTGCTTTTATTATTCATTCATTTAACAAGTCAACAATTTAAACAAATCAAGAAACAATACAGGAAACAAGCATTTCAATGTGATGATTTTACGTGAAAAGCAATTTGTTTATAATGTTTAGTTCTTTATAAAGTTAATTTGTTTGGATCTAATAAACATTTTTTTCTCTCTGTACATATTTATGTTAAACAATGAAGTACTTGATTTCCTTTGTATAAATATATATTCACTGTTTCATTCTACTTATAGAATATGTTATATTGATTCAAATTGGTTAAATCATTCAGTAGTAAGCTATAAGAAAGAATAAGCATAATGATTCTTTATCACTAATAATAGAGATCCTAAAGGTATACTATTTTCTTCCCCAAATACATTAAAATTACCAACCATTTGAGCTATCTTAAATATCAGTCCAAAACGTTACACAGTGATTAGTAAACAAACATTTAAAGTATATACTGAACATTATTAAAGCATTCCTGGCCCCCCCCCATTTAAGTAACACATTAAAAAACGATACTGTTGGTGATTTCAGTTTATAATACTGGTGTGGCGTGGATTAGTTGAAGTTAGACATTAACACCGTTGGATGACGGTCGGCTCAGTGATCAAGTGGTTAAGCGTTCACGCGCGAGACTGATAGGTCGTGGGTTTGAATCTCGCGAGGCAGGATCGTGGATGCGCACTAATGAGGAGCCCCACAGTAAGACGAAACAGCTGTCTAGTGTTTCCAGGTTTTCCATGGTGGTCTAGCTTCAATTGATTCATGATCTCAACTACTGAAACTTCTATTATCATCCGTTCTTTTCAATAATTCATATTCTCATGGAAAATCAATCTAGTAAGAATTGAAGTCATCGGTGTAATCTGTGCCGTTAATCATTTTTTTTCTGCCTATTACTAACTAAAAAAATGAATGTCCATGACATTTCAAATTACATTGATGCGATTATAATTTCTGGACGAACTAATCAGGCATAAAATAACAGATCATGGATTTTGACTCGAAATTCTCTCATCCATTTGGTTAAATAGAGTTTTGGCATTATAATTAATGTCAGTTCGTGATCAAAATCCTAAATCTAATTCCTAATCCTAATCATCAACTGCAAATCATAACTGTAATTCCTCACACAGCTGTATAACCCTCATTTGATTCTAGTTATTACGTGGGCACTCTCAAGATCACTCCAGCGTCGCTGAAAGTTCATCCGTGAATTATGCTTTCAGCAATATACTTAATAATTATAAATCTGGTGCTTGGAGACTTTTTCGTAGTTATTTTTTCATAAAACATTTGTTTACTTTCTTTAAATTATTAGAAAGTTCGTACAATCGTTGATCAGAAGGAGAAGCAAGACAAAATGACGCTCAGTGGAGAAGGTTAGTCAGCCAGCTCACCTTAACTCAATATTTATAGTCAGACTAGAATAAATTACAGATATGAGATGAGTAAAATAAGAAACGCATACATGTACGCTTACATAAAAACTGTCAAGGTTGATAAGCAAATAGTTAACAAGATTAAAATGTGACTTAAGAAGAATAAATAAATTGGCTTCCTCGGAAGCCAGAATAAGCTATGTGGGCTTAACATAACAATTGTATTTATTATTTATTTATTTTAACACATAGATGTTAGTACAAGGAGGCACCAAATACATATGCGCCACACAAATCTCATTTGATTTTTGTGAGGGCTGTGATACTGTTCGAGTGACCAGACCGAAACACGTGGTTTTCTTAGGGAGCCACACACGGAGCCTTCGAATTAAAGATCTTACCCAAAAAGCAGTGTAGCATCGTAAGGAGATGTAGTCCCATGTTAGCCGGTGACCAACAATTGGTTCATACTCCATTTGTTCCCTCAGGATACTGGAGCCCACGTGAGCCATTGGTTTGGAATGAGGGTTTTTCAACTTCCCTAGGTGGACTCACTGCATCCACCAACCCAGTTAAAGATCTGGACATTCGCTTTTCGTCCTCTCAATTTCGTAAACAATAGTAATGCTATGAGAAGGCAGTGGGTAGGATTTCCCTGGCAGAGGCTATATACGCGTGACCATGTGAGAGCATTCAGAGAGGGAGAGCGGACTCTTCCTACTCTTGGCCGTACCAAGGGCATTTGGGGGCAGCATAACAATTGACACTACAATATAAGTAAGAAACATAATTATACATTATGACGTGTGAGGTTTCCTGTTCTTGATATGAAGGGCTAAATTCAGTAGTCCTTTAATGCACACCTAATTGTTTGAATTTGTAGGGATTGGATTTAATTCCTGACGTGAAAACCATTACAAAGATCTGACAGCAACATTCATTTGATGAGTCCTGAAGTAGAACAAAATGTACATCAGGAATTTCATTGCTAACTAAAATTCAAATATATTAAAGTATTATACATACAATCAAGAAAATTAGATATCATTTTATTATTCATTCAATAATTGGTCTCACTTGAAATTGTTAAGTATGTTTCATCTATTAATATAAATGTTTATTTTGAGTAAAAACGATTGAGTTAAGTTACTTGAATACTTAACAATTTTGAAGATAAACTATTCTACTTCAATAGTTTTGTCTCCTTATCTTTTACACACACACACACACATTCACTCATTCAATCATATATTGTAGATATGAATTTAATCAACTGGAATAAATAATATAGATAGATAGATAGATGGATGGATGGATAGAATGATTGATTGACTGGTTGATTGATTCATGTATAGTTCATTAGGTTTATTTGTAATACTTAACTATACCACACAAAAATAAAAAAAAAATCTACTCACTAATTATGCCCCATAGAACCAGAAGAGAAATGAAAATCTTAGTCAATAGAAAATAACAAGAGGAAAAATATCAATATTTACGTCGATTTAATTTGTATTTCCAAAAATTATATGAAGATTCAGTAGACATTTAATAAATCTACTTTTATGTACTTCAATCAAGAATAGATCTGAACATAAACTAATCACTATTCTTTCGTATAAATTCTGTGTCTTCTTATGTCTTTTGTCATACTACAGTGTTTGTTCATGGTATTCCTTTACTTTGAATGCCCGCTCAGTGGTTTAGAGGTTAAGCGTTCGCGTACTCGAGACCGTAAGTCCTGGGTTTGAGTCCCGCGGATGGTATCATGAATGTGTTTTGCTGAGGAGTCTCACAATAGGATGAAACGGCCGTCCAGTAGTTTCAGATTTCCGATGGTGGTGTAGGTTTGATTGACTCATGAACTCAACTATTAAATTAATAAACAAGTGTTTGTGGTTTGGAATACTTATAGTAGAATCAAATTAAATCATAAGATGCTTATTATTTAATTTATAGAATGAAAAAACAAATGAAACAGGATTAAATAAAATCACAAATTTAATATCCGATCGTAAACATTTGTTACTGTGGTCAATTTATAAAGAGCCTCATAAGAGGAAAAGAAATACAATCTAGTTTTTTATACTTTACAATGTTACCTTAACTGATACATAATCAGAAGGGGTTTTGTGGATACTGTAGTAATTTCCATGGTTGAGATCATGAGTCAATTGAAGCTAGACCACCATGGAAAACCTGGAAGTACTGGACGGTATTTTCGTCCTATGGTGGGACTCGTGAATAGTGCGCATCCACGATCCTGCCTTGCGAGATTCGAACCCAAGACCCATCAGTCCATTACTTCCAAGTTTTCCACGGTGGTCAAGCTTCAATTGACTCATGATCTCAGTCCTTAAAATTGATACATAATCCTTGATGCTTATCAATTACAAATTGTAGTAATCTTCAGAAAATTAGTTTATTTTAAAATATCCAATAGTCGTTTATCATGCTAAAATAAATGAATTCAGACAGTAGTGTTCTGAGTTATACTACTGATCTTGGAACTGAGTTTAATTAAATGGTAATGATTATTTCCTTAAAATATTCTCTACATACATACAAAGTCATGATAAAGTGTACAGTTTCATTGTTATTATATGTAAAAATTCAGTACTTTGTCTGGAATTGTTATCTTTTTATAAATAAATAAATTCGCCAACTTAATTAAACCCAAACTGTTCAATAACTCGTGCAAGTTAAACACTAGCATATAACAGATAGTAATTTTAACAATCTCGATAGATATGTACTGTCAGAATGGGGGTTTTTTGGTGGATATTATAGTTGAGTTCATGAGTCAACCGAAGCTAGACCAACATGGAAAACTTGGTAGCATTAGAAGGTCATTTCGTCTTGATATGATACTCCTCGATAATGCGAATGCAAGATCCTACTCGCTGGGTTCGAACCCATAACCTATCGGTCTAGCGCGCAAGCGCTTAATCTTTGTATATGGAGTGAACAATAACTTAAATGGGGACAATCAATTTACTGTGTAGTGTGAAAATACACAGTTCTTTCATACAATGTGAAAACCATAAATTCAAATTTTCATTTGCAAATCTTTCAGCAATTGTCTAAAATTTTATTGTCTCTTCATTGCTATTACTCTTTGTTTACATTCTTGTTCCCTTCAGTTCGATCTTCTTAAGCTTCAACTGTCAAGTATTCCACTTTCGATTGGTGTTACATACTATGTATGTCGAAAGACATGTGTAGCATAAACCATAGACATATCTCAAGCACGATTTTACCAAAAACAACAGTAGCATAATTAGAGCTTATAAAGTACAATTTTTGAGTCAAGCAAAATTACATTATCAAGACTACGTATAAAAATATCATCAAACAAGAATATAATTCCGATATGCACATAACGTCAATTAGGCAAGTTAGTAAGTAGCTAAAATTAGTAGCTTGGTAAATGATGCGTTGGAGTTCAAACCAAAAAAAAAACTAATTGATCCGAGTTCCGATGTGCATATCAACGATTAGCAGAAGCTGGTATATCTAGCTGATGAATTCTGAATAATACTAATTATACGTCCAAGATACTTATGATAAACCATAATCCGTTCATTTCACAAGATAGCGAGAATTAATCATTTTGAAAGAAAAGTTTTGTATTTTTCATTTCTCACTTTTAAATAATAAAAGTCTTTAACTAAAAGTCATGGAATTTACAAAAATTATTAAATGAAAATCTTTTTTTTTCTAGGTAGCTCTTTTTTAGCGAGTTCGTTTTCTATGAGATCGGGTCGCTAACCTCATGCCCAACCCTCCTCCTTTGTCTGGGATTGGGACCGACAGTAGCCCCAGGAGGGGGCCTAGGAGGACTTAAATGAACATCTATATTCCAGATGAAATTTCGGAAATGGGTTAGTGAAGTTTAGTGATTTAATAAAAACTTAGTGAAAATAGTAATTATTTTTTAAATGAATAACTAATGTCTTTTTGTAAACTGTTGAAAGATTGAAAAGGTGTTTCTAGTAAGACTATAATTTATGGATAACTTTCAAGCTACGCCATAGTGATCTTGACAGTGTCTATTTACTTACTAGAGCCAAATGAGGGTTATAAAGGTGTTTGAAGAATATGGATTATAATTTACAGTTGATGGTTAGGGTTAGGTATTTTATTTAGGGTTTCTATCACGAAATGACATCAGCTAAAATGACAAGACGCTATTTGACTCAATGAGTGAGTGAATTTCGCGCCAAAATCTAAGATCTGTTATCTTTTAAATTATCGACTCATCGTGTTTCTTTTTAATTCAAGATTCTTCAGTCAGAATATGGTCGCACTGATTTTTGAATGTTCAACATGCTTTACATATAAGTATCAATATGAATAGTAGAAAATCATGTATGTTAATAAACCTTTGATGTAATTGTGATGATCCAGTGAAAGTGAATTTTGATCTGTCCTTGTTGATATTTACACATTATAAGTAAGGATCTTGATCTAGTTTTGATATATCTATTTCTTAAACTTATAAATTATGATAATCATTGAAATTCAAGATGTACATTTTATCATATTTAAAAATCATTTGTCGAAGGTACTTACATTTCATTTCCTAATTCTCTGTTAATTTAATACATTCAGTTAGGCAGTAACTTGTTATATTAAGTTTTAAATCGAATCAAAATGATCATTATGAATGTCAGTGTTTCTCATTATTTCAACAACAACGACAAAAAACTATTTTAATAGTAGAGATCATCAGTACATTAATACTAGACCACTATGAAAAACCTGTAAGCATTGAACGGCCGTTTCATCCTATTGTAGGACTCCTCAATTCACTCATGATCTCAACTATTAAAATTACTATAATATCCACAAAACCCCTTCTAATAAAGGAAACAAACAAACTATACTTCAAATTTATTTGCTGAGATTTTACAAATGCATTCTTCCTTGTTCATGTGTCATATTAATTTGGCGCCTATGTGACGACGGACCACCGGTGAACTCGAGGAAGCTGTAAGGGGCTCAGAAGGAGCCGAAGACATCCCATTTAATCACCTTTCCGAAGAATGTTCTAGAATTCCAACGTGTAGCTTCCCGATTGGATAATGCTAATACCCCCCTGTATGCGGATTGAAAGACTGCAATGATGATTTCGTTCTCACTAAAAACTATAAATACCTGACAATTTTGTACTATGATTGACACTGTTTGGAATAATATTCCTTTCATTAGTCTTCTGTCTTCTTATTGCGACTTGGAAGGGTTTTGATGTTCTAGTGCTCTGTTATACGCGGTAGTATCAAGAAAAATCAACTTTTCAAGATATAACAGCCTAAAATACTGTGAAATGATTCAATCACATTTAGGTAAACGTTTGTCATCAGTTATAATAATTTATTTATAAAAATATAACAATGATTAAAATACAAATGATAGTTGACATCAAAATAACCGATGCCAATAATGATAACCGATATAAATAAAATAGTATAGAGAAATTATTAGTTCATTGGTAAATGGTGAACAGCAACAATAAAAAAACAACCAACCAACCAACCAACCAACCAACCAAACAAACAAACAATCTATTAAACAGTAAACTAGCTATTTCATTCCTTTTATATAAATATACATTTGACAAGTATAAATATATTTACAAGCGATAGCTAGACACATACGCACTAGAGGAAAAAATAATTGTTACAAAGACTTTTAACTTGAATACAACATACAATTGGTTTGTTACCAATGTCTTTCATGAGAGAAACACATATACACCCTCTATATAGATTCATATATGTATATAATACTTACCTTGCTATAGTTATAGATGGTTATGTAAATGAAATTTTTTAAAAAAATCTGTATCTAGGATAATCCATGTTGAAAGGATAAAATAACTATGGGATATTTATTGTTTACTTTCATTCTATTGTAGTAGCTTCTTATTGTTTGAAAAAAAAATCGGTTCTCAATTTAATGCTTCATCAACGCCAATGGAATTGAATAGTTAATCACAAAAACACGAATAAGAATCATCTTATAGATTAATAAAATCATTATCATCATCGTCCCCATCATCACCATCATCCCCATTAGTGCTCAGGGTTATCAATTGGCGATTTATACAATCAATAATAATAATATGCTTATTATGCAATCGAATAAATATCGAAAATTTATTTTATTATGCGATAATGGATAATTGATTTGATTAGTTACAATCATAAACTTAACAAATTGCTTTGTTTTCACACGTATATTGTATATCTTTAACGGATAAAGAAAATCAAAGACTTTAACATTATTACATTCACTATTGAATTATAAGACCGACGTTATATTCTATTTTGATGATATTACCCAGAAATTATTTCGATCCAAAAGGAGTCTATGTGTGTGTGTGTTTGTTTGTTTGCACTTTTCTTGATTCGTAATTTATGAATGAATGAATGAATGAGACAAAACAATGAACCGATTACTTTAGTGAATTATAGCCAACTAAATTTGAACTTTGTGCTATACATCCATTTAACATATAGATACATTATATAAACATTATGGATGCTAATAATGCATTGAAATTAGGAAGATTATTTCGTGTGCCTTATGGTGGAGAAGGTGTGGATTTTATAGATCAATTAAATTATCAATTTACAAGTGGTATAATTGTATTATTTATTGTTATGATTGGATTTCGTCAATATGTTGGTAAGTCCACATTCTGTTTGGAAGGTTTCTTCTGTTATTCACCCAATTATTAACATATAGAATATATTTATGAAGATTGAAATGATTGTGGAATAACATCAATTGTGATATCATTGAAAACCATTGAACATTCTTTGACGATTTCAATAAATCAATTTTATATACACATACGTTGATATGAATTTTGAAAGTTTATTGTTTTCACAAAATTAAGTAATCTACTAAGAAAGTGTTATAAACATATTAGTGAGTAGATTATAAATAGAAGCTGTGACCTATGATGACCGAAGTTTTCTGTATTCAATAAGTTTGTTGTCTTTGGCGTTTCCAGTCACTATTCAATTCATTTAGTGAATGAGTACCGAGGATTTCGTTTCAAGCTTTTACTTTTAAAACATTGATACTTTTGTTCAGGCATGGTTAGCAAATAAGTGCAAATAACTTCGAACAACTAAAGTGAAATCTTTAGCAAGAATTACATTTCAATATCTAATATCCGTATATTAAATAAAAGGAAGTGTTAGATAGAGCGCATTTGTTGAACAGGGAATACGTTACGGATAATCTCAGCCACCTGTAATCTTGGATACAATTTAAAAATTAGGTAGTAACTGATAGTTGACATTTATAACGTCACATTTTGAATTCGAAGAAACACGTAAAAAAAATTAACAACATACGATTCCGATTCACTTCTTTAATGTTTGAGTAAGTTTCTAACGAGTTTGTTTAGGTGATAATGAATTATGCCAAGGAATTATTAGTTAAAATATACAAAAACTTAATCTAATTTAATTTCTTTAATTAGTTGATCGTAAAAATGATGCATTTCACACAGATAATAAACATCACCTATGAACTTGTTCAATATTCACAAAATACACATCAGCTGAATTATAATATCCAGTTCACTAGTAACATTTGTATATTCTAAGAGTTCTGGTGAAAAACTGTGATATTTAAAGCTCGGAAATGTTATGAATGAAAATACTGTCACCAGTGATATTCACTGTTCATCAACCTATGTAGAAAATGAATTAAAGACGAAGGTTAACACACTGGTTTTAACAGTGACGGGTTCATCGCGATAATCAGGTATGATTATGGATTCGCACAACATCTTAGTTCCATACAAGGGTGAGAAATTTATCCTTCCTCTCTGGTTTTTAATGGTACTCCATCATGGGTCAACTTTGCATACTTGTTACATATTGGATCCAGGTTCATAATGTTATCATAATTTTTGTTATTGATCACTAAGGTACTTTTAAAAGTTATGAATTTATCTATGATAGATCCAACTAGGCTTCACATACTTGCCACTTTGAATTATTAATCACTGTAAGTGAAATCAATTTAATAATCCACATATCAAGATATTGTACTAAGTTAGTATTAGCGTTACAACAAATTTTCACCTGTTTAGATATGCTTTTGTCCTTATGTTGATTTATAAACGTTTGTGTAATGTTTTACGAAATAGAACTGAAATGATTCTTGGTGTGATCAGAAACTCGATTAAGTAGACAATTATTATGTAAACAAAGAAACTATTCACATTATTAATCCTGTGAAAATTACTTTCGTCCACTTAGATTATATTTAAAGCATGAACAACAACACTTTTTATCAGGATGAAATGAATCCATTTCATTAAGAAAAAATGAAGAATATTTGAGCGAACAATTGTTTTCAATAACTTCATCATCAGGCTCTACAGTTATAAGTCCATAATTATGATATTTTACAAAGGCCAAAAATAAGGCATGTATTAATGAATTTGACAATGTTAAGTGTTAGATGGTGAACGTTTGCATCTGTTACGATATATATATGCTTCAAAATTGTGTTAGTTGCAAATCAGAAAAGTCATTTAATGTAGGTCAGAATGATTTGGAGTAAAGTGTTCAGTCACAATCAGTAAAATAGTATTATACTGATTGAAATCATGAGTCGATTGAAGTTAGACCACCATGGAAAACCCGGAAGCACTGGACGGCCGTTTCGTCCTAGTATAGGACTCCTCAGCAGTGCGCATCCACGATCCCGCACCCCGCGAGATTCGAACGCAGGACCTATCAGTCTCGTGCCAGGCGCTTAACCAACTAAAATAGTGGTGAAATTTCTAAAATCTCCACAAAACCCCTTCTGAAAATAGTATTATAGCAAAATTGAAAATGCGAAAAAATCGCATGAATAAAATACATAATAGGAGAATTTCATCTTGTCAATTAAGATAATAATAATAATATACTTTTTTTGGATACATAAGTTTGGTCTTCTGGATTTGATCCAGATGGCTTGGGCTATGTAGAGCAATCGTAATGTAGATAGATATTTTAGAACTTGATATAAAACAGAGAAAGCTTCCTTTATCTGGATATGATGTTCACTATCTACCAAGTGTGAAAGAATAGTGCTATTAATCGATTTAGTAACTCTTTTTACCAACCATGCTGGTACATGTCCACAAACACGCAAGGATAAAGCCCGTTGAGTACGGCCTATGTAACTAGCTCCACAGGAGCAGTTGAATTGATATACACACATGGAGGAGCCCATCAGTGGTAACCTATCCTTGATTAGTCGTGTGAGTACTGGTTTAGTTGAGAAAATTATGTGTAGCATGGCGGCATGAAACGTCCTTTAGACAGATCTTTTGAGTCGACGTGTTAAAATATCGCCCGCTATGTCCCCTTTAAAGTCTAGTCTCAGATATATACGATTTTCTTACTGACTGTGTCACAATTTATTCTTCTTTTAGTATTTTTTAACGAAATTATCTGGATAGCCATTATTTCGTAATGTATTCTTTAGTATATCTATTTCGCCATTCTCACTGTCTTCAGAACACAATAAATTGATTCAGTGGTTGAGACATTTAACCAAATTTACTTTATATTTAAGAGGTGTGAAGCTTTTAGTTAAGTCATATTTAAGAAGTAGCTAAAAGCTTTAAAGGTATTCTAGAATCATTTATTGTTATATCTCAATGAATAGAAAAATTTCTGGCGTTTCGTAACCTAATATAGGAAACTTCTTCAGAGTAAATAAATAATTATTAAGTTTCTAACCGACGTTAGTCTCAGATTGATCTCAATTGGGGTACCATTGAAAACCAGAAAGCATAGAAGAGCTGTTTTGTACTAATATAAGACATTTCAGCAACATATTCAAGGGTCTAACTTAGAACCTGCAGGTCGTCTGATGAAGGTACACAAAAATTATCGACGAAAAATACAATCTTTTATTCTTTAGGTTGTATAAACTTTTTCCCTGACCAACGTAATTAGGCTAATTAGTTTATATTTTTTGATTAATCCCTTCCCCTTCGATATTATTTTTTTCATGTCTGATTTATTTAAAACATCTATATATTATGTTGTATTTAGCGTAAATTAAGCAGAAAATCCAGATGATTAGTTTCTCAAATGTAAACCCTGGTGTGGAAATTACATAATATGTAACATTACAATGAGTATTGATCTGGTTCAAGAATATTCTCACCCCCCCAAAAAAACAACAACAAAGTAATTAAGTGTAAAAATGTTTACCTTATTAAATAATACGTCTTTAATATCATGACCATACATGATCATAAAAAGAAATTGGATGTAAACGGATGCGAAATTATTTAGCCGTTAAAGTATCGTTGTTAATGTGTGTCATATTTAGATAGAACAGATTTTCAGTACCTTTTCATAGTGTTAATTAGAATCTCAATTAGTTTTGAACTTCTTTGTAGTTTACACGTTATTTTCTAATCGAAAATGAACTGAGAACATTTAGTGTTCATTGAGAGTTAAATCATTAAATCATCATGTGTTTCGTATTTTCTATTTTAAATAATTGCGAATATTAGATGACGCCCATCCAATACTATTTCTATACTCTTGTGGTTTCCCTTTTACCAATCTTAGAATTCAGCTAGAACTTCAAGAATTCATCTAAAAGTTGGTTACATTAATAGTTATACGTTGACTGTTGTGTTTGAATACAGGCGATATGTACCAATGATGAGTTCTACCTCACCATAAAGTGGTTGTTTAGTATTCCCTGATTATCAACGATACTTTAGTCTAGAACCGTTAATAACAAAAACCGCTTACAAACCAATAGGTTAATCATGGAAACGTACCACTTAAGTACACGGATAAAAGTAATATACATATAAATTTCTAATTAATCCAACTGACTAATATAAAGAAATGGTCGAGAAAAATACTTATAGACAAAAAATTGCACTTATTCATTTAGATTGAATTGCATATAAGTGAATAGATCTAGAAGGGAATCACTCTAGTTTGAACTTGATAGGTAGGTGTATTTCCCTTAGGTATTTCTCTATCAAATGGGTCACTTGTATCGTTTATATTGAGTCTCTTACAATTCATTAATTGTCAGTAATATACGTAAATACGATGATAAATATATATCTAGTTAAACAAACAGGGTTACTGGGTTCATAACAGACCACTGGAATTTTAAAAATAACATAGTTATCTAACTTGTAATGAACTATTCGTTGATTGTATTATAAACAAATAACATCCTTAATGAATAAAAAGTCCAACTACTATACAACAGAAGAAATTTAAAACGTATGTCCCTAGTTTAAGACAAATGAAAATCAAGAAACACTGAATAGGTATTTTGTCATAGTGTAGTAAACAAGAGCACGAGTGGAGACAGTCAAACAAGAAATTACAGAATATCTCACTAAAATCTGAGAATCATACAGTAAACAGTAAATTTACAAAATATCAGTCATTCGTCTCAAACTTGACTGTTCCGTTTGCAAGTCTCATTCCATCGTCTCAGATTTCACTGTTCGTGCATTTTAATATCAATTGCTTTCTGTTCCCGTTGTTACCTTCTTGAAATACATTGTACTCCTGACTGCTGTTATATACTACTTATGTGAATATAAGTAGCTCACAGCACAATAGTTTAGGAGTCCTCAGTCGTCAGGCACCACGATACCATCAAAGATTGAATCC